GATTGATTGAACAAAGCAAAATCTAGAAATCGTCCTGATGTTGACAGTGACAATCAACTGCAGAACTGGCTACCGGTATATTAAATACGATGCCTATTGCAGTAATAAGGATCCTAGTCAGACAGTTCGATACGCAGTATTTCCAATGATTGTTTACTAAAAAGCTTTGACTTTCTTGCCTTTTTGTTTTTGCATTCTATAAAAGGTCGTAAGTACATAATACAATCTAAGGCGTCAAATTTTTGAAAATGATGAACAGGGGGGGCCACGAGCGGGAAAAGCCTCCAGAAGGGGGCCACATAGATTCCCAAAGTGCACCTAGAGCAGGGGTTCCCAAACTTTATTAGCCGCGGGCCAAAATTAGAATCCGAAGTTAGTTAGTTATTTGCTTTCCGGAGCATGGACTTGATGGTGGAGGAAGCCACGGGAACCACCCTGCGGTGGCGAGAAGTCCAGCAATCCTCTCGCATATTTTTATCACCCACGGGATGCGAACCCACGCATAGGGTTTGAGCCTAGCCCTAACCTGGTACACACACTGCGGGAATTTCAATTAATATACCTTTTTCATGTCTTTTGTATTTACATGCTATTGTTGATCAATTAAATGGTTCTCATATCTTTGTTATTGGACACGTCAGTGGAAATAATGTCATTGGTGGAAATAACGATCGTTTTGCATTTTATGCTGACACTCTTCTTGTTGTTGTTGTTCTTGTTGTTCTTTGACACGTTTTTGAAAAATCGCTTTTTCTCCTTGATTACTGGACCAATTTCTTTGAAATTTTCAATGGTTAAAGATTGATTTTTTCGACAGAAGGCTATTACTTTTATTTATTTCAAAAATTTCTGTCAACTCCAAGAGATTTTTTTTTTGTGTCAGATTGAAAAATAGCGACACTTTATGACGTGTCCATATATTTGAGCATAGCTCTCTTGTTTGATAAGTATAATTGCTATTTTTTGCTCAATTAAATTACTTCTAAATTGCTCTGAACTATCAGTGGGATCAGTTTGTTTGTAATGGTTTCATCTATCATACTCTACCACCAAAGTTTAGGCAAATTAAAATGTTACTATTCCTACAATGATCATCATTGTTCGCTTTGTTCTGTAGACATGATTCACAAGATGTAAATTATTGAAATTTTCCTATTGATTGACCTTCTTGTTTAGGTCAAGAAACGTTTTCGAAACCCATCTGCTGAAATCTATTGATGAGTATACTTATAGAGAGAGATTTATTACATTTGTCAAACCAAGAAAAAAAACACAATATATAAATAAATCCTAATAAAAACAAGAGAGCTATGCTCAAATATATGGACACGTAGCGCCACTCAATGGCAATAATTTTGATGACGTCATAGCGAAAAAAAAAAGTAAAAGCCTTCTGGAGAAAAATTTTATCTTCAACCACTGAAAATTTCAAAGCAATTGGTCCAGTATTCGAAGAAAAAAGCGACTTTTTAAAAACGTGTCAAAGAACAAGAACAACAACAACATAATATTGAAACGATCGCTATGTCCACTACGTGTCCAATAATATACAGATTCATGCTTTTGGCATATGACTGGGAGGCAACCATACGACCTTTTGGGGTCATCAGAGTCTGTTGCCACCCAATAGAATCACGTAAGTAATAAAATAATTTAACAGGTTTAGTGTGAATTATATCAATACCTCTCATCTTTGTTAATTATATACACTATGTCTTTCCTAGTTTATCTTTTTTCATTTGGGGTGATTGATATCACTGATTTATGATAAAATATGCTTTTATGAGTGTAAAATTATGATATGCCATTTATTTAATTAAAATTGTTTTGGCACAACATTGGGAAAGTTTTTGCACTTTATAAATCTAAACAAAGTTTGAAATCCCAAAACTTAATGGAAGCTCATAAATATATGAGTGTAAGTATAAACTTGGGAAGGACTAGATTTACAACATAGATACATGGGATGAATATCATTCTACTTTGCACATTACAGTGCAATAAATCAAGAATTAGTAAGATAACATAAACAAATTTGATTTGACTAACACAACACAGTTCTATAATCCAGGCCATGAGCCTTTGAATAAACATAATAAAATTTTAATATGAGCTTCAGGAAAATTGAAATATGGATCATTGGTTAATAGAAAAAAGAGTCAATTTGTTGACTAGAAATGGGTAGGCTTAGTACACGAGTAATACAGAATGTAACATTTTATAATACTGCATACAATGATGGGAGTACTTTAATTATAAACCTATAATTATATTTGAACACCACACTTTATGCACAATAATTTGCATCAGTAGAGTATAATCAGTGTATATGGTGGGAGCTGACTGCGATGACCCCTATGGTCGTATCGCTCCCTCCTGTCCATATCAAGACAATTTTATTTGCTAATGCTATTTTATTGATGACTGTATTTTTTGGTTGACAAAATAATGAAATCTCTCTCTCTCTCTCACACGCAGGGTAATCAGAGGTGCGGTGTCGAGCTTATTTCCAACGATTAGCACGATGCACAACAACACCGAGCCTAAAGTAGGGCTGTGAATATTGTCTCCTTTTTGCGGTTTTGCGTGTTAGTTTTCCGTTGTGTTTTCAAAAAGTAGTTGTAAATCAAATAATTTTTGTGTTATTATGTCTTCCGAATAGCTTTAGTTCAGTTGCAATAAGGTTCATTGGCCTGAGGTACGGTGAAGATCACACCACTATTCAAGATTGGGTGATATCACAGTTATGATATTTGTCACTTGATTTTTGTATAGGAAATACAAATAAAAACAATGAATGTCGGTTTTAATATCATGTTTAGTAAAAAATCTTGTGATTTTCTGCAATGTAATTTTATTTTTGATAAATGAACACAAAAGATCTCTTTCAAAAAAAAACATAGTGTTATTCTCTTTATAGAAAATAAATCCAAATTCTGTCTAAATTTCGGGGAAACACGGTAAGAAATGCTGTACAGTGTACAAAACTGCTATGCGTACAAAAAGCCACATGGTCATTCTTTGTGTAGCAAATTTTTGTTCTTTGAGAAGATCGTAAAAATAAAACTTTCACAGATTAGAATTTAAATTCAATTCAAATTTTTTTTTTTTTTTGAAGATTTACGTATTCGAGTCGCCACCGATCCTAATAACCAGTATAATTAACCAAAGCTTCCTACATCTTTTCACGACCCCCTAAGATTCCTTTTGCGAACCACCAGTGGGTCGCGACCAATAGTTTGGGAACCGCTGTTCTAGAATAATGACAATTTTATTCAATTGATAACGCTTTTGGTATCTTATCATTTGCTACATATTTAGATTGACATGGCGCCATACTTCCCTCCGAAATAAATATAAATCGTTAGGTACTAGATTATCTTTTGAGTGAGCTGAATCGTCAACACCATTTTAGCATATATTCGAAGTATTTAACAAATCCTTGAAGTCGAAGGTGAGGAAAATGTTATTGATATCGACAATTTTATGCCACTTCCGAATCACATGGTAGGAATTTATTTTTATCTATTTATTACCAAATTGAAATTGAAAAAGTAATTGATTTATAAAACGACATGCAAATATTTTAAAGATGTGATATTTTAAAATGATGCTTTCACTCTCGACAGAATCTAGTTTGATACAACATAGGAAAGGTTTTCCAAATAAAAAAAAGGATATTTCAATTTGTGAACTAGAAGTAGCTGTAACTGGAAAAATCTTTATTTATGCCTAAGGATGCTATATGACTACTTACAAGTATTCGATTCTTATCCGATTCCTGAATTTTCGATTGCGAATCTTGATTCTTTGACATAGCTTACCGAGAAAACATACCCACTTAAACAATACCAAATGGAATCGACCTAGAAATCAATGTTCAAATATATTGACGTAAAGACCAAAACTAAAATCGCACACGAAAAACGTATCCCTAAGAGCCAACAGAAATTTTTGAAATGCATAATATATATAAACCTAATAGCTTTTTAGAGAAAAGATTATAGTTTTTAACCACTGAAAATTTCAAAGCAATAGTTCCAGTAGGTGAGAAAAGTATTTTTCCATAACAATAACAAGAAAATGAATTTTTATAATAATAAAAAACAAAACGATCTGTATGTCCACTTTGAGCCCAAAAAATCCCTGTCGGAGCAAACAAAAATCCATTGCAATCTAAAGTTCAATTCGTTCACATGCCTTCACAGAAAGTAAACTCCGCTGAGCTAAATGCTCTTTCTGATGCAGCGGATGTTGATGGATTACAGAGGTACTTTTGGACGACAACTGCGATGTTTGGATAAGATTTTTTGTTTTGTTGCCACCATTGCTACATTTCTTCTTGAATCACTGATATGTCAAAATTTCTATAATTCAAATATTCTGATACTTCAGCTGAAGCTTCCACCTCCCTGGCCAATTCACCAATGTCGCCGCATCTTGCTTCAGAGCTGCCCATACCATCATTAATACGATTTTCAAAATATGCATTCGTTCTATTGAAGAGCTATTTCGTCATTCCGGTCTGCCGGATTGCGGTGTAAACATTATACTTAAAATTGCAACAGGCGTTTCATTTTTCCTAATGCATCTTGCTTCAAGTGAATAGGAGGTATAAACGCAATAAATAATACAAAAAATATACGAATGAAATGTGGCACGAGTCCTTGACCCGCGTAAACAAGCGAGTGGGCGAAGAATGTAGAAATATAATAAAGTTTGGAGCGTCGTAGCAACTCCACATAGCGGTTTATACATATATGTGTCACAAAACGTTAAAATTTGTTTGCAATCCAAATTTTACCTTTAAGAATTGATTCCAAGTCATCGAAATCGATTCTAGTCGAATCCACAAAGAATCAATTCTGGAATCGAATCCGGAGTCGATTCCGCCATCTCTATTATGCCCAAGTTCAGTTATTCAATGTGTTAAGAATTCCTGCTAAATAACTCACAATTTCCTCTGGAAAGACAATTTATAAATCATGCACGAGTGTACATAACTTTTTTATTACCATATATACCCAAAATAAACCAGCAATGTGATATTTTGCTAGGAGTGAGGTGGTTTTCACTGCATTATAAATGTTCATATATGCACGGGCCTCAAATGTATCAATATTCTCGATGTACTAATACATGTTTTGATAAAAAAAATGCTTAAGATAAAATCTGTTATATAATACAATACATTTGCACTAATCAACGCGTAAGCGTAATGCTTCTATGGGCATATGTAATTCAATTTATTGATGGCACCTCAGTGCATCTCAAAAATCAGAATATTCTTTGAGTTCTAAATTATGAAAGCTATTTGTCTTCCTAATTATCTTTCTGCATTAGATATGCTTTCCAAGTCGTCGGCACAGTTCTCATCTAAAGAAAGAAACATTTTTGATTATTTTGTGCTAAAGTAGGTTACCAATTGAAGTAAAATCACCACTTCGTGTGGATTTCATATAGCTCACCCAATGTATCCAAAATATGCTTGGCATCATCGACTACATCTTTAACTAGCAATCGCGAGGTCTTACGTCGTACTGGAGGTCGCTTTCCTGGACTTCTGAGCTTTGAAATGTTTTCATTCGGTAGTTTATTTTCTTCTGATATTTGTGGAATATCAACGGTGAATAGGCCCTCTCTGATTATATTGCCGATTAGATCAGATTGTGTTTTTGACCTGGTCGCAAATAAATGATTGAACCTGTGTAAGAAGAAAATAACAAAACCAACTTTATATATGCCGTTGATATTTTATGCAATGTGACCAATTTATTCAACTATTATATTAGAATAATTATTTATTACCTTTTTTTATTTTTTCGTCGTAATTCCTGTTGCTCATTTTCTGACGGAAGTAGTGATTTCTGAGAAGAATGTTGTTTTCTCGCCGATTGGGTTTTTCTGGTTTGGGAAACAGATTTTTCCAGTTTCTTTGTTTCATCGGGTGTAAAGCCGTAATACGTCTGTTTAAAATATTTTCTATATAATGTACATCACATTATTTATATCAGCTCGGTGGTATTTATATATTTATTTAAAATTTAAATACACAAATTATTCAATACAAACTTTTTTTAGGTAAAACAGTTCACAACCGAGCTGTAATTGCCCGCGATTATAAATATAAACATATATACTATATTTATTTACAGCAATGGATATGATTTACATATTTATCCAGGCTAAACCATATGGCGAATCACGGCCTCTCGTCCGGTCACCATTCCATGTCGGTTATGGGATTAGTTAGTTATTTGTGTCCAGAAGCATGAACTTGATGGCGGAGGAAGCTGTAATCAACCAGCGGTTACGTGAACCACTCCACGGCGACGAAGAGTTCAGCAATCCACTCGCACATAACCATTCCTGTATGGAATTCGACCCTGCGAACCTACGCAGAGTAATCAGAGGTGCGGTGGCGAGCGTATTCCTAACGCTTAGCACGATAAGCCTTACTGCTGCGCCAAACGTGTAGAGTAACTTACTTTTGCTTTTAGTTGGAGAAGCTCGCGTATATCCATGAAATAAATATATATATATTTATGTTTGCACGCAGTTAGGGTGGTGATTTTGCTCGATGAGTCTGATGTGAATGTGAGCTTCGTTCCATTAAAATTACGATAATTTCTACACTAGCAAGTAAGGACTCTGTTACTGGAGATTTTAGAGTATTTGTAAGTAAATGGGTAGGACGTTAAAGTACAAACTGCTATTCTCACGTAATATTCAGATGGTAGACCATATTGCTCTCGATCTGATTCCCCGCTGCCCAAGACATATTTCCATTTGACATGCTGCGTGGATAGTCTTCTAGTTCTGATTTTTTGATGCTTTTCACGAATTAAACGGAGTTGTTCTAATTGTCTACGAATAAATATGAAATATTGTAATCGAAGACGATTTGACTTACTTTGTTCATGTGGCTATTGTTGATTCTATGAGTTGTTTCCTTGAGAATTGATTTCCGCAATATGGCCAATCGGCAAGATGTAAATGGCGACGTAACAATGGAAATTTTAGCAGCAGTTCAGACCCATTTTCACTAAGGCAAAGTTCTAGGCGCGGCTGCAAATATTAGCTCGTTTTCGTTGTTTTGTTACCAATTAGTCAGTTTTCAATTGCGTGTAATTCAATTGGTGTAAATCAGATAAGTTAACAAGTCAATTTAGTCTTCCAACGAGTTTTAATTTAGTTGCAATAATCAAAATTAAGCCGGATAAAGTTGCTGAAACTAGGCCGGAATTAGCTGTCAGTACTTTAAAAGGGCATGCAGTTTTAAATGTCATGAATCAGACGGGTAGATATGAAACTTATAACCTCGTTGTAAACGCCAACTCGCGAAATCAGTCTCAAAATAGGCATATTCATGTACATTGTACATGAATACCGTATTTGCTCGTTTAATACCCCGCCGCTTATTTTTTTAAACATACTCACTAACCGGGCCCTTAAACCGGCCCTTATTCAAGCAGGGGCGCTTGTTATTTTTAAAGTAAAATTACACACAAAAATACCGGTAGATAAGATCGATCGTTACAATAATTAATACCGTATATTGTCATTTCCAGTTCTCAAGTATGATTTAAACGAGAATAATGAAAATTTTGACTTTTTCTACGCACCGCAGGTACAAATCCGCAAAACTTTTACACCGGGCGGGTATTCAAGCACCGGCCCTTATTTATCTTTATGTCCTGTTCACACGGGCGGCTATTCAAACGGGCCCTTAATCAAGACCGGGCGTTCAAACAAGCATTTACGGTATGTCTATTTTGAGACTGTTTTGTACATGGTTATAGCAAGAAATTTTCTGGGGTCAATGGTCGGTCGCGCATGCGCACTAATAATTTGTGTCGTCTGCATTTTGAGAACTTCGCCTGTCGTTCAATCTTGGAAGCGCGCGATTTGTTCTTCTGCTGTAATTGCAGGTTTAGATATTTTTTATAAAACGAAATGGAGTAGAGCGGAAACAGGGAGATCATCAAAGTAGGTTGTTTTAATATTTTTTCCCTCAGTCAGGTTATGCCTAGTTAAAACTATTCTAACGTTACCTTCCGCTTTTACGTGAATGTAATTTCTCAAGCCTAACTTAACTTATATCATGGTCTGTTTGTTACTATGTTGAATATGTCTCAATACTTTAGCAGCAGTGATTGGTAATTTTATGATCACATTTCATGGGTCATTGGATATTATCCGGTATTTTAGCAGGTTTGGTGCCGACTGCTGTTCCATCACTTGTCCCGTCACCTCGTCCATACAATCCCATCCTAATGGTAGAGTGACAGTGTTTCAAGCTTTTCTTTTTTTGTAGTCTAGTTAGGATAGGAATTTCCTATTTATCCCATGGGTGAAGAAAGGCGATGAAAAGGCTCAACCATACGGCAACCGTGGCCGTCCGCTTACCAGTCCATGTCGAGTATGGGAATGGTCAACCAGTCAATTTTTCAGACGCATGAATTTGACTGGGGAAAAAGCCGTATACCACCAGCGCTTATGCAAATCACCCTTTGACGGCGGGGTCAAGGGAGACCAGCAATCAGTTGACACATCAGTATGCCCCACGGGATTCGAATCTACGCAGGGTGATCAGAGGTGCCAATCATTCCGAGTAGTATATATTTTTGTCGATAATGTATTGGAATTAGCAATAGGCCATAATCTATTCAAGAAGGCATATCCTCTTTACAAGCAACGTAGTATATTCACGCATAGCTTAGTTTACTTAGGAGGAACAAAGCTTTTTTCAGGGGCGTATAAGTTGTTGCCAAATGTAACCAGCATAACTAGACGTTGAAAAATGGACACGCTCTCTAGTCTTAACCCAAGAACATCACAACAACCTAACACAACTGTGAACAGTATATTAATACAATAGTAAAAGTCTCATGGGGGACAGAAAATACTGTAATAAAGATGCAAGTTTCTTGCGGGCGTGCTAGCAATTGGGTACCATTATGAACAAACACTACTCCAATATCCCTCCGTCATATATAGATCCATATTATTAACCGAAGTCATTAGTTCAAGAACATATCGCAATGAACGTGTCAGCGCTCTGGGAATATAGCGACGGGAAATAAAGGAAATGCTCTGGATGTTAGATTTTGTATGTTGGAAGTGAAATTTGAGTTAAAGTAGAACATCTCAACCCACAGTTCATTTTAGGACATCTCAATACTACATCACGGTAATATAAGACAGCCGACACAACAACACGTTGATTCAAATGTTGATGTTCAGTCATGTTAATTTCCATGATAATTTAGCTCTTGCTGATGCGTACTCATAAAAAGGTCCAATTAGTTGGAACAAGTAATATATTATGGTAAGCAGTCGGGCAATTAAGCTGCAGAAAACGCCAAATGCATACTTCTGAACAATGAGAAATTTGGTGCGCTATATGCATATGATTTTTGTTTTCAAAGGAAAACTTTCCAGCATTTCTACAAACGTGAACGAGTATATTATGCTATCTGCTTTACCTGTCTTTCGATTCATGTATTTTTTGCTTCTCCTTTTTCGTTAAATTATTTTTCTTTCTCTGTTGATTCAATTGGAGCTGTTCGAGTTTATCATAAAATTTTTCTTTGCGATTATTTTGCCATCTTTCATCGAGATAAATTGCCATAGCTTTGCGATATTTGATAAGTTCTTTCATGTGCCACATCGAACCACTGAAAAAATGTAATTTTAAACAGTATTCTTCAATATTAAAATTGGTATTCACTATTCACAGTATACATACTATTATCAAACCTGGTATTTGGAGGTGTGGTAGATTTACTACTTTCCGAAGTTCGAACTTGACTTGATATTGATCGATTTGTCTGTTCCGACGCTTCGCTACTTTTTGTTGAAGAGTTTCTTTTTCTAGGTTTTTCTTGGGGTATTTTTGCAACAGAATGATAGGCATTAAGTTTAAAATTTGAATTCTGCGTCCGTGGTTTGTGTGTAAAATACGATGCTTTGTCAGCAGATTTGCTTCTTTCGAAATTTTCGTTTGATTTGTTTGTGGGCAACATTAAATAATGCATTGTATTGGCCCGTATTTTGAAACTATTAAAAGATTTCGATTTTTCATTTTCTAAATTCACTTTGATTCGCGTATGTTCAACTTCATCTTTGTTGTCTGACTTACTATATGCTATCTTTGGTTTTTCGTTAGTCCGCTTTTGATTTTTTCCATTTGTTTTATCTGATTCAATATGATTGATATATGTTTGTTGGTCGCGATCCAAGACTTGGACCTGTCGTGATACGGATTCTTCGTTATGTGCTCTGGTTGAGTACGACCCACCATCGTTGGTGATGGCGCTACTTTCAAAGTGTTTTTGTCCATGGTGCTCCGCCTCAACTTCACTTTCTTTTTTCAATATTTGCATACGTCTGTATTTTTCAATTGTCTGCAATTTGCCAGAATAGTGTTCGGTAGTACTGTGATACATGCTGCCACAAAACTTACATCTACGGCGACGATTTTCTTGGGATCCAGTTGACTCTTCCGAAGGTAACATTTGCGATGTCTTTTGATTTTCACGGGTTTGTTCATTTTTCTTTGGGAACATATGATGGGCGTGAGGCATACGGCAACCCTCGCTTGTCTTTGTGGACTTTATTCTATCATGTGAGACATGTGATTTTCTTGGTAAAGACGGGATAATCAGGTTCCTTTGCTTGCTATTTATATTCGATTTGTCCGAAGTTTTACGCGTGTTTGATTTGCTGGAAGTTCTGAATAACAAAAAATAAAAAATTATTTGTATAAAATTTTCCAAACATTTTACGAACAGCTGGACTTGGATTTGATTCAAATACTAGAATGGTATAATTAGTAATGTTAATAAACATTATTTAAAATTTTTTCATTTATGTTATGACAAAAAAAAATTTGTTTGTTGCGAAGTTCGTGAATATATTTTGTATTTTCTATGTTTCACTGCTTATTATTTATGATCGTTTGTTATCCATTATCTACATATGATTTAAAGATTTTACTTCAATTCGTCGCGCCAGTAAATGGATTAAGCTTGCTGATAAGCAGACAATTGAATTTGTTTGTACAAAATCCTGAACAGCGCGATAGTTCACTAACCCTAAAACGACAAAACCTATTGTTACCATGGCAAGAAGATTACATTATTTTATTTTTTATCTGAATAAAGATGTAACATCCACTCGAGATGCTATTTGGCTTGGAGTGGTCTCATAAAATATTTTGGGTAAAATACGGATTTTATTATGTGAGCTGCTTCAGTTTTATAAAAATTATTTCAGCTCTTTGTATGAAACAAAAAATAGCATTTGATCGTTTTTCTATAACGTGCAATAAACTCGATGTAATCGTTGATTTATGTAGAACGCAATCTTGTAGATATATAGAGCAGTAGAGCACCATTACACCCTAGGTAACTACATGCACTCTGTCTATAGCATACTTTTTCCGTTGAGTAACTTTTTATTAATGCACTCAAACAATTTGATGCTTCACCCTAGCTATAAAAAAAAATACGTGCCTTGTATCTGGCGTGGTATAATCAGACAGCTTGAGATGTATTGGCTCTTTCATTAACTGTCTGTAAGCCAAGGAATGTCTCACCCCCGGATCGTTGGTACAATACTTTTCTCCATAGGCTAAATGGCTGGATGCCAAAATCGGAAATTGTGTCTTGCGATCCCGCGATTGACGTGCAAATGCCTGCTGCAGGAGTTTTGCATTACTAGTATACGTATCTGTCATTATATAACTTGCAGCAGTACAGTTAGTTTTACTGGGTCAATTTATTTTATAACGCATTTAAGCATACTCTGGAAATTTGATATATTCGAGGCATTAGGAATCGTGAACTTTTGTCATAAACACGGGCACGTCGTGTACTAAACTTAAAAACTTGCATTCCTTGTATTACCCAAGAAAGTTATAGTGCGATGTACTCCATTAGCTGTAAGCTTCTTCATCCGTTCAATTTCAAGAAACTTTCTATCCAGTAAAATTCTAATCGAATGCGTATACTTATTCGACTTCATTCTTCTTCACAATATATATGTCCCAAATTGAAATCAAGGAATGAGTTACTTGTGCGCAAATACAGTATGTTTAAATATTGCGAAACGAAATTACGATAATTCAAATAAATCTATTTTGTCAAGCACCATTGGTTATAAGGTTTAAAACAATTTAGATAATATAACTTTCATATTTATGGATGTATGTATTGAAGTATATACATACGTTGTAATCTACCACAAAAAGAAACCTCGCTCGAAAAGAAGTTTCATAAAGTCATAATCTTTCCCGAAACTAAATGAATGTGTTCATATCTATACCACAATGAAAGACTGCGATTATACTCATCCTTAATCTCGTTAAATCACTAGTATACTTTACCACGTCACAACCTTATGTCGAACTACTCAAATTTACAGGTAAAATGCTTGCGTATTGATACGAGATAATAATCTGACCCCACTTTGTTAAGCAGCAAAAAATTATATAATATGACCGATTCAAACATAAATATATTTACACACATATTATGTTGGCAAAATCTCGACACATAAAGCGTGAAACTGAATAGAATATGCGTCGCAGAGTATAGTTTTATACATTTCCAACAAAAGAATCATGAACGCGACTTATTGAGGTACCTTCAATACAAAAGCAACAATGGGGCATTCGTCGTTACCTTATTCAATACATTTAGAAAAATGCAGTTTTGATAACACTTATGTCATACCAAACTAATAACCGACTTAAAATAAAGATTTAAATGGATTGAGAACGAAATGATAATATTTGTGTTTTGATGTTAAACCTTATCGAATATCGTTTTCTACATGCGCATCAGTACATCAGAATTAGTAAAAGTTCGTGAATATTTTTAATAAGGGCGTCCAAGGTGATTGTTTCTCACGAGCCTACAATTTTTGGAACCTGAAATGGCCAAATATTTATTTACTATTATTTGTTTATTAAAATTCGTTTTGTTTAGTCTGGCCCTTTATCATATCTGCTCGGAGATATTGTTTTTGATTGAGCATATTTTATAGGAGTGTTCGTCACGATGGTCGAACCAAATATATGTTCGTGAGTCTCGTGACTGTGATGAAATAAAAGCGTCATACAGAATTGACGCTGATATGTGTTGAGAACGAAGAATTATATAAATAAATATATTCCTTTATTGTAAGATTGCGCTGAAAAGTTGTATTGGGGTTGTCGTTTAAATTGATTTTTGCTAACGAGTTTTATGTTACTTATTCTTGTGGTATCTTTTTTCGGGTTGGGGATTTAGTAAAAATTTAATCTGGCGATGATCTACAATAAACAGGATTATAAATATTTTAGCCCATTCCGATCAATCAAGGACAGATGGATAGGCTACATGATTCACATACATGAGCGACAGTAAATTCATGTACACCAATATTTGTGCTGGTAACCGATAGTGGCAAAGTCACTGGGCAGCTGTAATACAATTTCAAAAAATAGTTTAACGATCAAATATTAGTTCAAGGGTTTTATGTACATTGTTATGACTATCACATCTGCTTAGAACTTTCCTCCCGGAATTTAACCAGTTTATATCGAAGCCACATTTGGTCCACAAGAGGGAAGCACACAGCCACGTTTTAGGACGTCCAATGGTTTTGCGGTCTTGGTCTTGGTGTCTCATTGACGTTGCCTTTGTTCATCTTCTTCTTATTATAATATGTGTCATGAACGCTCAAAATGCAAAGTACATGAAATTTCTCAAAGGGTTGTTTTTGATACATATGTGTTTAACTTTAAGAGATATTCATATTGCTTCGTGGTTAACCTAGTATATTTGAAATTGAACTGGGACGTGAAATTTCCAAAATGCTGCTAATGTTATTTTCATAAAACATAATAACGTGTAACTGCTTAAGCTATTCAATGTTTGGAATCTTTGCTAAACCAGATAAACCAGTCATTCAATATAGATAATTATGACGAAATAGCGATAAACCTCTGGTTATTATCTGAGCCCGGGGTGAGCATAACGGAGTTTTGAATAAATGGTTTTGTTTAGGTTTCTTTCTGACAAAAGTGAGAAAGCGTCGTTCGTATCCATTATTGGCCATAGTCCTCTACGTTCACAATTATCGTTCCATGGAACTGGGCTAGAATAAAAAAATGGTGCAAGTGCAATCTTTCATTCGACTTAATAACACTGGGATTGGCAGGCTTCATTTAATAGCAGTTTATATCAATACGTTGGGTATTTAATCTATTGCGCTTTATGTAAAAAATAGCATTGCGAACAACTTTTCATTTAATAAAAAGGGTAACTACGTTTGCTATGTAATCGAATTCAATATGCCATTAAAATATGCTAAATATCCTAAACGGCCATAAAATGATGTAATCTACTGAAAAAAACGTTTTCTTGTGAGGGTGGCATCAAATACGTCATAACCTATTTATTATACGGGCGTTTTCGGCGTTTATAAATGTTTCTGCTGATATGTATTTTTCTGTGAAGTTTTTGTGTAGCCACAGTGATAAAGTTTTTTACAACGGCAAATCTGCAAAACCATAATTTTAACAATAGTTTTTTAAAATTAGAATATTTCGGAATAATATATTTTAGATTTTTCTTTTCTCCTAACGCGACCAGAACCGGCAAACAGCGCTTATGATCCGAAAAAAAGATAATCGCTGTAAATGCTGCAATCAATGCGTCCTGCGGCGAGAAATAAAATCTGTTTTAGCAACGATGTATTTTGTAGACTGGGTGTCTAGGGGATCATCTCGAGCGGCGTGACTTAATACGCCATATGCTAAACCACTTCTAGCATTAAGTAAACAATATGCAACGAGAACTTGCTGGTGTCCGTTATGAGTTCAATAACCTGCTTAATCGCTAAACAATAAGGAATAAATAATTTCAGATTCTAATTGTTCACTACGACTTAAGCCAAAAGTTTAAAGTTTTTAAAGCAATATAAATTGCATTAAATTTTACAGTAATAGAGCATATTATATTGGTTCGTTTGTGTATATGAAGAACTCCTGACAAAGCGATAGCTTGGTTACAGGATTATCTATTTCTATACAAAGTGACTATTGTTAGAATAATTGGTGTGTGAGGCGAGTTTCATAGTTTGGCACAATAATAATGGGTAAAGACATCCGCCGATTTAATCGTGATGTAAATACAACAGATTTAACAAGATTGCATTGCATGATTAGAATCGATCGACATTTGGCCGATTATTATTTCGCCATTTTGTAAAGTATTTTTTGTCGACGTTACGTAAAGTATTCGTTTGTGTAAACTTTTGAAAAAGGGTTAATTGGCTTGCTTAATAAAAATTTTCTAGATATCAACGTTAAATTGTTTGATAGGTTTTGCGTTCATGTGAAACTTATCTCTTCTCAGTAATTTGGAGTTTACTAAATGTGTGGCTTTGGCTAATGATGCCGTCACAGCCGCCGTGTTTATTTCTTTTTAATATCGAATTGTGTTTTCTAAAACATCCTATTCGATTTATGAACAGGTGTGTCGTACAAACAGATTACTTTACATGCCTCGGATCATGATATATTAATTCTGAAAAGTCTCGAAAAAATTAATTGTTGGGCTTGGTTTTTAATAAATATAAACAATTAAAACAAAGTACGACCTGTTTTGTCGTGCCGCAATGTCATAGCGCTCTTTTCGTAGACGTCACACAATTTCTATTGTGGTATCTTATTTTCTTTTTATTTTGTTTGGAACAAGCGATAGAATAATAAAAATTTGCATCGATGAGTGTAAAAAAATATAAATATAGATAATTAAAAGATAAATTTTATCATATACGCAAAGAAATGCAATGGCGGCTAATTGGAACTAAAATAATAATATTGAAAAAAAAAGCAACAAGCAAAAACAATTTTACTAAAAGAAGCAGTAACAGTTGTCTAACACTGGTGTGAAGTTATCGCTGCAGCACAGAATAAATAAATAAATATGATTGATAAATATTTTGTCGATGAATCAATATCTGCGTTCCACTATAAGGTCGCAGACTCACTGTAGACCAGCAAAGACGTTTCAAACAATCCCGCAATCAGTTTCTTTTCATTTGCTCTTCTGTGAGACGGTACTCGCATCCACAAACTCGGTTATTCATTCCGGTGTACCAAATTGTACTAAATAATAATCGCATCAAGTTGTTTTGATCGAGCTATTTATCTAGCTTTCGTTTTTTAAAAATACTTCACATCTTAATTTCAAACTCTTATTCCTCAGTTCATGGTTAATTTGTCCACACAAGTGAATAACTTCATTGACACTTCTGGGATTTTTCTTCCGGCCGCCTTCTTTAACTTTATCCGCATCAGTGACAACCTTGAGAGTGAAACCGTTACCGGCAAACGACCTGGCCAATTGGAGATTTCTAGTATTGGTATTGGAGTTAATCACTTCGATACTAGCTCCGCGGGATACACTCGGAAGTTGTACCGTCCTTTGCCTGACGGCAGCGTTTCGACGAGGAATAAGACTCCCCTGTACCAATCTGTCCATTGTTTGTTGATGTGCTGTTGGCATATCATCCAGATATATAGGGAAATCGGGTCCTAAAATATGGGAGATCATTGCAAAAGCTCCTTCGCCATTTGAACGGCTCCCATCACTGGCAACGCTAGTGGGCACGTATTTGATCGAATCTTCTGATCGAATTCGGTTGTATATTATTTGCAAACGTTTGTAGGTTTCCCATAGATCTCTTCTACGTCGCTGAAGTTGCCACATTGCTCCAGATTGACGTTTGCTGTGATTACGAAAAATAGGAATTTAGCAATAGGAATACTCGATTGAATTATTTATTTACAAAATTCTGTTTTACCGAAATGTGTTTACATATTAAATTCTGAATTGTCGATAATAATGCTTGTCAGTGAGAAAGTTGTTAAAATTTATGTCATATTTTATATATATACTTACGTTCTAATGCTTCTAGCTTCGCACAATGTGGAGAACGAAATGACGGTAACAAGTGTGATGAGCATCGCGATGTTCATACTGAAAAGTTAATATTATATTATAAATATATCGTATAATATTCAATTTCGTACTTGTAATCAATAGAATTGGAAAATTCTTGAATTGCGTATATATATATTTAAAAATCAACTTTTAATTAATAATTCAAAAGCTATGATTCATACGATATTTAGTATCTTGTTAATTATCAGCGACTGTCTTTTAAAACTTCAAACTTGGGTCAAATATAACTTGCTTACCTTGAAGATATATCAGTGAAATTAAAGAGAAAACAGTTGGAAGACAATAATGAGTTTTATTCCGCAGACTGGTTATGTACCTATACTCGAGTATAATTCGTTGTGATGCCTGTTCTGAATTTCACTCGTGTTTTATACTACCTATAACGTCGAGGTTTATGTATGTGCCCTTGCAAAGAGATATCTGGTTCGCCTTTTTTCTCTATTGTAGTATACGAGAATAGTATCGCTGCTCGTGTATTTTTGGCCAGTATAACATTACACAATACTATCTGAATAGATGTCTTCAGCTCGATGACGTTACACAAACCGTTATCAAATAACAATAGTCTACGTGCCTTAACACTATATGTATCTTATTTGCTTTTAGTATATTTTCGAAAAATAAGGCAGTAACATGTTTTGTCATCGCACAACTATTATCGTAATTTCTGGGAGTCATATCTTATATTTAATTCAAAGCCACAGAATTTATCTGGTTTGATATCATTTTCCCCGGAAATCAGATTTTCTGTTATACGGTCATAATTACAGTTATAAGATGGTCTTGCACACGCATACCAGCAACGATAACAGTAGTGCTTGATCCAGAAGTCCCACGATTAAAATAAATGTGTGATGATTTACTTCCATGGTCCACTTTATTGTTTTACAAATATCGAGATCTTACGAGCAAATACGAAAGGTACGCGGTATACGGGGGTATAGAAAGTACCGATTACTCACAATTGCCATATGTCCGTGTGAACCATAAAATATTGTTTTGACAACGAATCCAAATCGCTGGAGCGAAAATGCTGTATTCAGCAATGAATAACGTCAGTCACGATCTTTAATGTTAACGATCCGATAACTTTCATGTAAATAAATATTTCCGTCACGGAATTGTTTATTTTGCTTATCAAACAAATTATCCATTTTACAATCAATGAAACGCCCAAGTTATTAATCCAATTTTTCGCAAATTAGATTACCAACGCAAACGATTTAGTTTCTGACCTCGCTGTTCGCATAAACTGGGAAGAAATATTTTTGATATTAGTGGCGATTAAAATGACTGGTCGTTTTCGCGTTCGAATCGCATTTAGAGATAATCTGAGTATGATTCACGCCGATTTATGATAACTGACCAGAGCGTGAAATTTGAATCCATACTTCTTATAATCCGCTCATGAATCTGTAGTCACAAATGCTTTCACGCTATTTAACGATGAAGTAAATAAGTTGGGTTCAAAAAACCTATGTTTTTCGAGAAAAGGTAGCCTACATTGTAAGTAATGCAAATTAAAATATTGAGATATTCATTACCTGTTTACGTATTACGTGTATACTTTATTTGGCGTTTTCTTGGAAGAATGTAACATACGTCATATATTCCAACTTTCAATCGGTAAAAATATTCTAATACACTTTCTCTTTTGTCTGGCACTCGAAATCATCGAGCACGATGTGTGGTAGGCAAATACTTATCAGATTATGCAAGATCGTTGAAGGCGCAGGTTGAATGGGGAAATTATCCAATTATGTTATATTTTCACTTGCCTATCTATATTTGCCTTTGTCTGCGGGATAATCTAATAGCTATAGTACACCATGCCGTTTACATTGCCTTTACGTCAACGTACGCCGGGAAAACAAATTTGACTATTTTCTCAAGTATTTTCTGCGCAACGTCACTCCGTTGAGACTTGCATGAAATGACGTCAGTTTTCTTTTATAATCAGCGATCTGAGTGGTTTTCTCAGCGTCGCTTTGCGGAAATACGTCATATTCGAACACTTGAAAATAAAAATGAAAGTAATTGACAAAACCATAGTCAGTCAGTCACCTTTTATTCGACTGGCCATAAGTTCGTTCACCCGAAATTTAAATGTCAGTTCCCACACAATAACGCCTGTATGCACATATATTGTAGTGTGAGCCGTTGATATGATCATTATAACATTTTAAACGTAAATATGCTATTTGTTTTGTGCATTTTTATTTATAAGACTAATACCGATATTGTGTTTTTTAAACTTGATAGGAAATTGTGCTTTGAAAGGCGTGATACCGTGCGACTAAAACTAAACCTTGCACGTTTGCCCACATAAATAATGTTAATTTGGAACCAACGTCCCAGCTACATTGGCTCAACCTTATATTGTCTAATGCACTTTTTTTATTTTATTATAATCTGTTCCGTTACATAGTATTACGTATGAGTTTCTGTCATCGGACAGACGTGTTAGCACAATATCCGTATTACGTGCATATTGTATTGTGCAATGCCGAATCGGGAATGCGTAAGCTGGAGAGATGTTATTTTGGATGAAATTATTATTCGATGACGTCATTGTATTATTTGAAGAATTGCAAATGAACAAAAATGTTTATAGCGAAATATGTTAAAAAAATTATTGTCTCATCAATGTCCGTCTATATACTGGCAATATACTCAATAAAGGAGATATTCCTGTACGGGTAATTTTCAGTTAAACAGCTAGTTTCCAAATGTGGGTCTTTCAGTTTGAATTTTTATGAAAAATGTTTGCATGTGTGAAATAGAAGAAATGATAACTGCAGAATACTTGATGACAACAACAATCGGTAGGGAAATCTATTGTAAAGATTAACTTCCGCGCCGCCACTTCGTACGTGTCGTTGAGATCATTGAGTGAAATCACAGGACTCTTGTTAATTAGCAAAGGGCATTTTGGAGGTAGTTTTGCAAAAAGAGTGTTTCAGGTATGTACCGTTAAATATGCACATTGCGAAATATAAAGATTTGAACTTTGCGTTTAATCCAATCATGGAATCACTGAAAGTTCAAATGTCTCAAATAGTTTTCGATAATGTGCTAACTACAAAACAACAGATTTGAAAAAGAGTTTATTTTCACAAGATCGGTTTTCGAAACAATGTTGGAAGAAGGTGCATATAGTATACATACAGTATATGTAATTCGCTTTTAAATGATAACCACAATCACCAGTATGCTGTTACGTTTACTACTAACTACACAATTATTCATGTTTTCTCTAGTGATAAGATATCTTTTAGAAAATCTTTGTTTCGCTGTGACAACACTTTCCTCGTGTAGTTATTTTTTCGAATAAAGGTTTTAGGTGACTAATATCAAACCTAGCAATATAAATTTTCTGTTACATCCTAAAATAGTTTTGGTTTCGACTGTCTATGTAAACCGCAACAAGGGCATCGTTTGTGAGGCCAAGTAAATTGATATTGCATATCAGAGGTGTAACGACTAGAAATAAAATAGCTAGTGTTCCAAAACACCGCTTGCTTCAAATCATTTATTGTACTGTGCAACTTGTGGGGTCCAGTTCGTATTGCCACATAACTTGTTTAACGTATGGCCAAACTGCACTTCAAAAAGACTTCATGTAAGTTACTCATGAGATATAACTCAACATTTGATATGCATTACACACCAGCAGACTTGGACGAAATCTGAAGGAAGGCTCAACTCACACCCTGGAGTTGTTGACTGTTTCAACCCCACTGGTTGCATACCTGGTGTTATTCTATAAGAATAATTGTATATTCTTTCAGACGATTACAAGGTATTATCTGCCAAACTATAACAATCGTGTCGTTGTTTTCCTCTTATCAAGTATCTTTAATTGGCGTATTGTTAATTTATCGTGATTTTGTTTGCGACAATCTTGGTGAAGGAGTGCCACGTATAATATTTAAAATATTAATATTTTCTCTTTACTTCTCACCATTATTGTTTTGATAGGATCACATACCAAGGATATATTGTAAACCTATTACAACGAAGAAAGATTTGATTAACAAGCAAGTCCACTGTCCCAGTCTGCGTTGCCTGGGAACGGTAGGTGTATTTCCAAATATTTTTTTGAAAATCCGGCTTCTCTGTTTTATTGTTCTTTGTTTGAAGTAAAAAAAAAAATGTAAGTACGTAAAACACAGACTATACAGATTGGGCTCATGTTGAAAAATTCATCCCAGGCACGACCTTTAAACATCCGACTCTATTGTTCTTTACCACTACCATAATCCCATTACAAGTCGAATAATAATCTTATGATAAAAATATGGCCACATCGCATACGTGCGAAAGTGCAATTTTATTAAAATAAGATCTTGGGTGAGGATTATCGTTTATGCAGAGAAGTAAAGGCCATTGTTGGAGAGTATCGAGCTAATAGGCTTCACCTCTCGAGGGGCCATGCTAGAACCTTATAATGAATTTTTTGATATAAGATTAAGAATGTAATGCAGAAAAAAAAAACAGTGAAAGCATTAGAACTTTGATTGTAGTTAAGGAAGAAAATACGGCAAAACCGTGCCACAAAACTTCGCCGACGCAGGCATGCTACTAGTTAAGTTCAACAGCAGATGTTGAAAAATGCAAAATTAAAAGTCGTTGCCGAAAAATATGGGTTAACATAATGAGGAAATTCCATTCTGCTCCTAAATTAAGACTCGTTCGGATTGTTTCAGTGCTACACCCACTTCTGTTATAAATCCACTTATCTCATTTGTTGAAAATTTTTTTATTTTCTCCAGAGTCAATATGTAAAGTTATCATAAAATAAAATGGCGGTCGGTCGAGACAGGTTCTACCAGTTTCCCTCTTTACCATATGTGATTTTATTTATTATAAAGAATTACGGAAAATCTTGTATCTACGTGACCACATATCATTTTCCATTTAATAAATAACTCAAATGTGCAAGAGAGAGAATATATATTTTCTCATTTTGAGAAACCTCATTAAATCAATTTAAACAAAATAGACTATATCCGTTTGGACATGGGTACCAAATATAAAAATACAATATGTAATATTTCTAAGAATAGAAAGATAATATTGGCAATATTTGAAATTAATATTGTAATATATATTCAGTTATTGCTGAGGTTTAATTAATTGATTTCTGTCTTTACGCAAAATCAATGCCGACATTGGGTATTTAAAATGGAGAACAAAATATCTGAGCCAAAAATGCACATTTCATTTCATAGTTATTACCTTGAGTATGGGGACGGAAGAAATTATTAAAAATCCGAAATATTGTCACTGCGTAAAAGATTTACCCAAAAGTGGTGTACTGAGCTGTAAGTAGGTGGGCTTAAAGGATCAGGTCCATCACGATTTACGTCAATATCACACCTTATTATTGCGACTGTAATTTCTAGCATTGTCAATATAGTAAGATATTAAAGCCTTTTTATTCAAGGTTCATCTTCATATATCCACCAAACTTCATGGTATATTTCATGCAAAAATTTACAGAACAAAGGCTCTCGGCTGATAGTTAGGAAAATTCGATACAATATCATATATATAGTTCAGCAATTTTAGAGACATCTGTACAACCAGCCCCAACTAATGACACCGAATTCCGCGTTGGGATTCACTCAAACAGGCAGGGCGAGAATATTGTTCAGCAAAAAATACTGGATTCCAAAACCTAAGAGCGCACCTTGGGCCCCATTCTGAAAATTTATGTGGCACTAAAACTACAGCGACATTTTAAACCGTCAATATCAAAAAGGGAAATATATACTATATATCTCTAAGTCTATGTATGCCGAAGTTAGATTTGAATGTAACTATAAAGATGGCGGTAAAAACGTATCGCGATATCGTTGAGAAATTTTGAATTTATTTGGATTACAAATTTCCATGTTTCATAACAGTCAAAGCAAAGAATTCTTACTTAAACTTAGTAAATCCAATGTAAAACATACTGTGTACATGAGGTGCAACTGACATAAAATATTGTCATCTGCCTTATGTCGCCATCATGCACCGCCTGAAATATACATTGAAACGACAATGAAAGGGGGTACATCGGAAGATTTGTGAATTCATAACTTTGGTTCAAATTTCTGTAAAAGTGGAATGTCATGCCATGGTCGATATTGCTGTCGTTGAATGTCACTCGAGAAATTTTTTTTATATGGTTATTTATTCGGAATTATGCCAGAGTCTTCTCAGCAATAGTGGCTGGATGCACAAACAAGAATTAAATTTGGAAGGGCAGGTTCGAATTGTTTTAAAAATTAGACTGAGTACCGGAAATATATATTGTTGAAAACTCCGAACAATTATAATTAGAGGAATGTAGAGCAGTATATGTTAACAAAACTACCTAAACAGCCAATTTTGATACGCTGCTAATAGGATGTTGCATTTTAGGTGCGTTCGAGATAAGCAATTTACCAATCTTCCGATATTCAATAGCGCATTCGAAATACGGATATATACCTTATGTTGTTACGGATACTTTGCGCGCGGAGTGCGCCATGGCGGAAGAAGTCCTAATATCGAATGATAAGTGGACGTCAGTGCACGATTTTACACGTAAACTATTCTGGTCATTCAGCTCTCGGACAAAGCGCACCAGTCGTTGAGATAAACTGAACAATCTCCGCCATTTTGATTTCATACTGCCGCTGCATATTCAAATAATCGAACATGGCGGACTTGTCGCCCTGAGGTATGCGGTGAACAACATTTCCACTTAACTGAAGAACAAGAAAACCCATGTCATTGTGCCCATCCCTTTGTCGCATTATCAATTTGCATATCATATCTTAACGATGATGCATCTTTGTTCACGATAGCAATTGTTTGTACCACTCTCTTCCGTTTTTTCTTAATCTAATGTAGAATCTAAACCGCCTTAAATGGCGTCTTACTCACAGAACAATAAGACATTGTTACAGAAAGGTGAATTTCTAGCAAAATTTCAGTCAAGACGAGAGATATCCAGACGGACGCCACGTCAAAAGGGTCACATCATTACTTATTATCGATAATAACAGATGATTACAAAGATACATAGTTGCAAAACGATTGCCCCGAGTCTAGAATACACGACCAACATAAATAAATACGCTATGCTTCAAAAAGTGATAACAATCGTTCAATACCTAATATACGTTTCGAAAAGTTACCCCCTCTAGTTTTATAACAATTCATTCAAGTAAATTTTGTAACAAATAATTATTATTATAATTAATTGCATCAGTTATTGAAATATGGTAATTGTTCGAAACCCACAAGGACTCAACTCAATGTCCACTTCCGCAATCCACGGTATATCACAATGTAAACCCAGGCATTGTTTCACAGAAACAGTCATTCACGCAAGAGAGCAAGAAGGATACTTGCCATTTGGCATGCCCTTCACGATCCATTATGCTATGATTGCAGTCGAACATAAAAAATGCATAGTCATTAGCTGTTTATCAGTAAATATGAAAATACAGATTTTGTACTTTAATAAACATCCATCATGGCGTAAAAGGAAGACTTCCATAAATTTCAGTTTGAACGATTTTAATTGATATTCAACTAGTCGAAAAGCATTCGATAATTTTGAAAAGTATATAATCATATTTGCACCGAAAACCTCAATAATATCAAAAAGATAATCCTCACCAGCGTAATCCAATGTATCAGTCCAGCACATATTATTTATGATATTAAGCCATCGGACACAAACAACGATCCGGGTAAACATGATTGATGAGGGATATTTACACCGGCCGAGGCACACACAACAAACCAGCGATTGTTCAAAATCCAGTTTTCTGCAGCCTACATCCGCGTGTGGCAACTACGGCGCATGTTTACTTTAGGCCTCAAAGTAGTATCTGGTTACGTGGGGCCATTATCTTGTTTGTCAAGATATTCAGATAGGCTTTGTGAATAAGCCAGTGGACGGAAATTGTTCTTAGAGATTTGAACAAATTATTCTTCCGCAGACAAAGTAAGCGATAAAAATAGTCATTATAGATAACTTTTCATGGTTTATTTATAGAATAACCACGTGACGAATGTGTGATAATTTTTTGTTGTCCAGTGACCCCTTTCTAAACTTTGATATCCGATTCCCGTACTTCTTTCGCAAAGAAGTGCTAGACCGCACCGCACCTGTGGCTCATCATTCTCACTTCTACTCTGCCGGCACAATCCAAATTCAGGTCAGAAGGTCAGCATGTTCTGTCCAAAAGTCTTGTCCTATGATATCTTCGTGTAGTACTTCAAATCTGCTGTTTGAGTTCGGTTGAAAAAGTTCATCTTTCTTCGAATAATCTGCACAACCCTGTGAAAAATGACAACTGCATGAATTGACACTAACAAAAAAGATATAATATATTGACTAGTTTTATTTAGCTACGTTGAAAAATAAAAATTTTCAACTCGTGTCCGAATATTACCAACTTGGCTCAAAAAACAAGACGAAATAATATGATAACAATATGAGTTTTTAGCACGAATTTCTGTTTATGGACGTAGTCAATATGCCTAAAACAGTGAAAAACTGCTAATATAAAGTGAATAAGCGATCAATTCTGATATACTTTCAGAAAAATCTAAATATTAGGGATTCAGAAAAAGAAAGTTTTGCGAAATCGAGATGAAAAGACCACAGAAGTTATCCTGATCCTCCCTTCAAGCAAAAATTCATTTATTATGTTGAATTTTGGGCATTGATACCCACTTCAATCGACATCATTTGTCATGAAAATAACGAAATAAAATTTCAAAAGGCTTTAGTTTTTACAAAATTGTTGTGGCAAGCGCAATGGAGGTTCAATAGCGTGCGTAAATTCATTCAACTAAAATATATCAGAATCAGTGAAGGTAGCAAAAATGTGTAGTCGTGACCATACACCAACGACGGGGCTATTGACGAAATGACTGCCGTGCCCAGGGTCCGATTTTAATCGGAGACAAGTAACTTGAATGGGCACCATTGCTCTACTCAATGGAATTAAATTACTTGTTGATACTATGTGTATACAAGGAGATGTAACACCAATTGATTTTTACAATAGATACGCTGCATCTTCGTAGAAAGTTTGACCGAATTACCCGAAACAATCCTGTCGCAAAACAAACTAGAATAAGTTGTTTGCCAACGTTCTGAGAATGACAAAACGTCATTTTATTTGTTACATAAATACACATCGTAGCTGCAGGGCCATTTCGTCATATGCAAGATTTTGTTCGACTTTTCCCAAACAATCGACTTCTACGAGAGTCCTCGAGGCAAAAGTTCGTTCAGCGGTAACCCGGTTCCGTGCGGTCGGGAGTTCATGGGTGGTCCTTGGCGTTTCAATAATATGAAGTCTCTCTTAAATCGTAATTAAACAATACGCGCAAGATGCAATAATCTTCAAGGCGGTAACTATATTATGAATCACGTGTTATTTAGATCGATCTTCACGCCGGTGCCACATTGACCCAATTTCGCAGCAGTTGCTCATTGCAGCAAATGGTACAGAACAGAATGCAAAACCGAAGTCAACAATTCAATGTAAACGCTCGGGGAACTTTCCGGCGGCTCCCTTTCATGTGTTTTTGCACCAGTACGCGTGAGGTGGCTGTTATCTGCTTTTTGGGTGGTCCACCATTGTCAACTCTCAGTGCAAAAGTAACTTCCCATGAAATCAGTATGCAAACGTCACATCTGTCCTAAATGACTGATAGTATTGTTGCTTCTCGACATGAAAGCGACAATTTTTACGGAACGGTGGCTAAGAATAAAGCGTACAAACAAGAGGATGTGCATAGGTCGAGGTTCATATCCGCGGTAAACAAAAATTATTATGTCGGCTTTCTCGCATTTGCAGATGTATTCCAATAAAAGTTGGATATGTAAAAATACCTTTTTTCTCAAAATTATCGTCCCCTTGCGGTAGACTTGAGGAAGATCATTGTAATTTGTTCTAAATTTCGAAAACAACAATTCGTTTTTCTCAGATGAGTTGGTTCCCTGTGGAAAAAACGTCAATTGTTATACGTTGTAGGCGATGCGGCACTCCCATCTTGTGGCAAGGGCATTGGTACAAAGCGATCGATACAATAGACTATTGTATATCATGCAATAATAATAATGATCTTATCCGACTTCACCTTGAAATTAAAATGTGTAGAAACCAATTTTTTTTACCTTGAGAGATGCTTCAGCTTGCTTTGTTGTCATACCATCATGTACCAAATTCCAAAAGCAGGTGTTGAAAAGATTATTAATGTGACCTGAAATATATATTGTAAAGTTCTATATAAACTTTGTCACTTCATGTAGGTAATAGTCACACCAAGTCAAAGAATCTGGCTGATTGCGAAATAATATGCTACCATTTCACAACTTCGCACTATAAGTACAAGTGTATCTTTTGAGAGTTGAAGAAATAGGGTCAATAATTCTCTCCCAAATGAATTGTACCATTGCCTGAATGAAGATTTTCCTACTATCTTTAAACTCGTCTTTTTCATTATTAGTTTGGAAAACTATATGTTTTTCATATGAAAAATGATGATCATACTAGATATATTTGCTTCAAGTATGCGTGCCCTAATATCATCAAATACTTCTACATCGATAAAAATAATCTAAATATCGTTTTTCAACAAAAAAATTCCTCACAATCAGCTTGACGCCAGCTCAGATAGTCTCTCATATTCATGTCGGATGGATATAACACAACTCTAGAATCAAAGACAGGCGGATAAAGGAGCTTTTGATTTGGGAAATACTTCGTCCAATGAAAAGTATAAGAACTTGAAAATTGTGAGACCACAGTGGATGATAGTTTGCTGCAAACCAAAGAAAATAATTTTAGCAATAAATCGGAGAAAAATCTGATTTTTAGAGAAGGTCTGAATGATTGCTACCTTGCTCGTCTGTTGTAAGTCTTTGTTGCTTTTTTAAACACAAAAGAATATTCATCACTAGCTCCATAGGCTAATATAATATCATGAAATAGCCTCATTACTCCACATGCAGATTCGTTCATAAGATCAAGAGCATTATCATCATTAGGCTTCTTAAAGTTATGTGCAACAGAAAACTTATGAAAGTTCTTTCCATCAACTCGGACAACAATCCAACAGTTTCTCAAACACTCATCCAGTATTTCAAAGTGCTTAACATATTCAAATCTACTTTTTGCCATGTTATTGCTGCAATATATTTAATATCAATTAAAAGAATAATCAATTATGCTTTCGAATGAAAATTTCAAAAAAACTGCAACATGGTATTCTTCTATGCATAGATTTTGTCATGTTGTGCTATAAAATTTTAAGCAAAATGCATCTCCAGTTTGACTATTGACTTCTCAAACATATCTGAATAATTTGTCATCAATTGCATTCAGAAAAATTTGTGTATTGGCGATGCAATGATAGATCTTGTGCACTGTTATTGTTAGCATATTCCATTCCTCATTATAATGAATTGATTGAAAAACTATAATTTTTATCCGAATACAATAATGTGTTTAATTAAATGGTTACACTCTCAACACAACCCAAGACATATTATCACCAAATTATGCTAGTAAACCAGCAAACAGCAGATCAAATAGGATTACTACGTTTACTTTCGTCTGATATTCTTATTTAAAATTGAATTAACAAACTCATAGATATTGCACATTGCACAATGTCATAGAAATCAATACCTTGGCACTAAATTATGAAAAAAAAATTTATTTGAATGTTCGAAAATATTTATAGTTCAGTATGCTTAGATATTTCCTCTGGCTGTAAATATTTAGGGAGTTTGTCAGCAGCACACCGAAATCCTAAATTTGAAGCTGAACTATCTGGTGTATTTTGGCTTCGTGCAGCACATCTATATCTATAACAATAATCTTTATGGCACAAGTACGAGCCTCCTTTCTTTACTTTATCAGTACCAGTTTTCGGGCCACTTGGATTTTCAACTGGGTTTGCACTATGATCAATTGTCCACCAGTCTTGCACCCATTCCCATACATTTCCAACCATATTATAAAGTTGATATTTATTTGGCTCATATGTTAAAACAGGTGCTGTGGATGAATATCCATCTTCTTCAGTATTTGTTTTAGGAAATTCGCCTTGCCAAATATTCATCCTGTGTTGGTCTTTAGGATTGGGTTTATTGCCCCAAGGAAAAAGTCTATCTTTCAGCCCCCCTCTTGCCGCCTTCTCCCATTCTGCCTCCGTTGGAAGCCTCTTTTCAGCCCATTTGCAATAAGCTGTCGCATCGTTCCATGATACATGAACAACGGGATGATCCATTCGTTTCCTAATGTCACTATCCAAACCTTCAGGATAGCGCCACGATGCTTTATCCACAGGTAGCCACCAAGGAGCTTGGGCAACGGCTTGACTTATATCTTTTTTCGTTTTTTCACTGATGAAATTTTCAAGTACAAATGAATTCCCAAACTTTTCGGCTTCTGTGATAAGCCCAGTTTCATCAACAAATTGCTCAAATTGTTCATTGCTAACCTCAGTTTCATCAATATAATAGTCATCCAACGTGACTGTTCGTAATGGACCTTCTCCATCAGCAGGTGGTACGGGTGAATTGTCTGTACCCATTTTGAAGGGGCCTGCTGGAATTAATACCATTTTGGCAGAGAATTTTTTACCGACCTTAAGGTGTGTGATCTCAGGTTCACCTTCAGTTTCTATTACAACATCATCAACTTCTGCATCTTGATCATCCTTTTTCCTACTAAGCTTATCACAGCCACAACTCTTATCTTTATTTTTGTCCCCATTTGCATCGTTCATTTGGTTTCGTTCTGCATTTTCTTCACAAGAAATATCATAGGTGCATAAGATCAAGATGAACAAAACCAATTTTAATAACATAATAGATTGTTCACTTATAACAAATTGCTACAGTAATATTAGAATATAGTAAAATATTAAATACTACAGCAACAAATTCTGAAAATATATACGGGTACGGTATATGACACAATTAACTTATATTGAAAATGACATGCAGTGCGGCGAATTGCTAAGTGCGCACAAAAGATAGCAAAATTATGCTAAACATAACTAATACATTATCGATTTTTTTACATATTGTAGTTATAAATGTTATATTGTTTCTTATTATAAACTCAGAAATGATGTCTGGATGCGTACATGAATGAATACTTTGTTACATAGAATCTACCTCTATCTGTCTATTATTGTCATGTAACAATACTGCAATATGGATCGACACTACTTCCAGACTGCGGTAGGTTAGGTACTGCACTTGCTGTAATTTTTAAGTTCTGTGTTATTTAACTGATTAACAGAGTTTAGCTACCGGTACTGTAACCAGACATGAGTGATTTTTTAGTATTTCTGTATTTCGAAGAAAAATAAGGCCTGCAGGCCTTATTCAGTTTTTTATGAACCTTCCTGCTGTTCTGAACTCATATCTAGCATATTTCAGTATCTTCTTTCTGCAGTTCTCTCTTTCAGTGTTTTGCAGTTTTGTGAAGCAAAATACCTATCATGAATACCGTACCGTATTCTTTTACAGTTTTAGGCTATCAGGGATCTGTATTGCACATAATCACACACACTTTGCATATTATTAGTTTGGAATTCAGGTATTGCACTAATTGCAGTACAATTTCTGAACTTTAGCAGGTACCGGTACCGGTACATTAATTTGGTCAGTCTACACTCCAGACTGGATTCCATGGCAGGTGCACGCCCGAGGGCGCTAGCGCTCCGCAAAAATGCACGCGAGCGAAATCAATTTTGCACGCCGAAAATTTGCAATTGCTCACCAATGTAAATCGGTTTAAATGGTTTTAAAATCAATAATCCAGTAATATAAAGATGCCAAAATATTATACCTCCACAATTGTCGACAAATACCAGCTTGCAAGATTTGGTCTGATCGAAATATTGCGAAGCAAAAAGACCATGGACCTTTCCCCAACCTTTGACCCGCGAAAAATTTCTCTCATTGTTACGTCCTTTTTTGCATCTTGCTGATTGGCCAATGTCACGAAGTAAACAAGGAAGTCGATGCTCGGGGAAAGGTCCATATCGTGTTGAATGATAGGAAATAGGAATCCCGTGAGAATAGTTATGGACGAAAAGATCGCCTCCGCACCAATGGCCAAGTACGGCTCTGATTCAGCGTATTTTTCATACAATAATTTTACACGAATGTACTGAACAGTACCGGTATAGGATAGGATAGGATAGGATTTACATATTTATCCCGGGGGAGAGGAAAGCCGATAAGACTGCTTATCCATATGGCGAACCACGGCCTCTCGTCCGGTTACCATTCCAAGTCGGATATGGGATTAGTTTTACTGTATTGTTTGTTTTCGGAAGCATGGACTTGGTGGTGGAGGAAGCCGTAACCGACCAGCGGTTACGTGAACCACCCAACGACGGCGAGGAGTCCAGCAATCTTCTCGCACATAACCATCCCTGCATGGGATTCGAACCTGCGAACCCACGCAGAGTAATTAGAGGTGCGGTGGCGAGCGTATTCCTAACGCTTAGCCCGTTGAGCCACACCGCCGCGCCGCGTATCTAAAGTTGCTCAAACACTCCCAAAATTAGTGACAAAGTATGAAAATAATGTTTGGGGTCAAAGGTCAAACGTCCATTTTGCTTTAATTTGACGTATTTTTTATACATTAATTCTACGTAAAAACACTACCAAAATCAATGACAAAGTATGTCCATTTTGCTCTGGTTCAACGTATTTTTTATCCAATAATTTTACGCGGATGTACTGAAAGGTACCGGTATCCAAAGTCGCACAAACACTCTCAAAATTAGCGACAAACTGTAGAAATAATGTTTGGGGTCAAAGGTCAAACGTCCATTTTTTCTCTGATTCAACGTATTTTTGGAACATATGCATTGTAAATGACATATGGTAACGTAGAAAACATGATTTGGTTAAACGAAACGCAGTAATACTTTAAATCTTACCAAATTCCAGCGAAGACTTTTGCAATTAGACTACTCTTCCAAAAACTACTACTCTTCTATTACATTTAATTTATCTACCTAAATTTTGTTATATTTTGTGTAAGTTGTCCACAGATCCCTTAAAAAGCATTGCCCGATTCTGAATCGTGTTTTTTGTATTCTTGTAGTAATATTTTTTATTTTTTTTTGGTGGGCGGGCGAGTACCGTACTTTTACGTTTTTTAACTTTATTTTAAGTTATGCTCGCCTTCCAGGTATCTCTGCATTTTGTTTGTTTGTCCAGTTTTTGTGTTGTTTTGTTTTTATGTCAGAGTACCGAAATAAATGATTGATGATTGATTGATCGACAAGCAGCGTGAGTGCCTTTCGCGGTTGCGCGAAAACTTTCAAGACCGCCTTTGTGAGTTTTTCAAAAACAAACTTTTGCGCGAATGGACCCCGACCCTTGACCCCTAAAAATTCCTTTTTATTTTTCACCCTTGAAAAATTGACGCTTTTTTTTAGAGTAATTTAGAGGGTTGGCGCTCGCAAAATGGCTTAGATGTTCACAACTATCATTTTTATTAAAAACCTCAATCTACGTGCGCTTACAGGCACTGATAGCTAATATTAGGCTGGCATTATTTATTTACTGTCTAACGTAGTAGTATATATTTACGGTCTAAGACAGTGTTTCCCAACCCGGGTCCGCGGCCTCAAATGAATCCGCGAAGCATTTGAAAGAGTCCGCAACGAGCCAGAAATTCACTGCGGGCCGCAAACGTTTTTTCGAAACTTAATAAGCCAAGTTACGATTTACGTTCGAATTTACATATAACATAAAAAGCAAGTTTATCCAGATAACATTAATCGAGTCAATAATTACTGGTTACTGAGTAGGGCTGCGCATATATTCAACTATTAGAATAGCAATTTACTATTCAAAATTTGGTAACAGGTGCCGCGTCGCTAATTAATCAATCTTGCGGATTTCCGACAAAAACACGAGTCTGCACACGCTTCGATAGATACATAAGTGGTGTTTCTGGCGAGTTCGAACATCGAAGAATGAATTTTTTTCTGGTAGATGTCAATGGTGGAAATCCAAATCTTTTCTTAATTGAAAAGCGGCAATACAAAAAACTAAAATATAAAACGGAGGACATCATAAGTTTTGTTTTATGATGGTCCGCGACCGATTAAAAACGCCTTTTTAGACATTGCAAACCGCAAAATTTCGGGTGCTACTGTAGTATACGTACCAGGGCATTTTCCTTTAGGTTTCTTTGCTTTACTGCCTCCACATTGGTACGTACAGTACTGGAGCACCGTAAGTGTTGTACGAACAGCTCAAATTTGTCGAGTTCACAAAAATACGAATTAAAACAAAATTTAATCGGGCACTTTACTACGTATTTTTGTGTCTACGAATTGTCATGATATGTTCTGAGTAGTATTGCTTTTATTTCGTCAACACAACCGCAGATTAGAATGATCACAATCAAATTAATAATGAAACAAGGCGATGAATATATATGTATTATACTAATATACTTTCTGAAAATTTATAGCAGATAGTAGGATTTTTCTAACGGCGTTTCCAAATTTGCAAAATCGCAAAAAATATATATCAAAACTAAATATAATTAGGCAATATATTCACACTTTATTATGTTCGCAGATTGCTGTGACATTTTAAAGAAGTATTGCTTTCATCTTGGCGCAAGTCGACGCAACCGCGAGTTACCATGAACACAATTAAATTAAAATAGAAAGACTTTTTAAATTGTCGTCGTTGTCACGGATTGAATATTGTGCGAGAGAAAAGCCATTATACACTAAAAAAGTCGTCTTTTATAATGAACGCGGAATTGCAGCGAATTTCCAATTTTGAAATTCGTTAAAATATTGTTGTGTTTGGTTCTATTGCTTCTTCAGTACGGTTGCAATAAGCGCATCTTGAGTCCGCAAAGGTTTTCCGCCGGTGAGAAAGTAGTCCGCGACCAAAAAAGGTTGGAAAACGCTGGTCTAAGACAAGGTTTGCGGGACCAACTTTTGATTATTATAACTAAACTAAAGGTCCTCGAAAAACATATTAACAATTGTTATTTAATTTAGAACTATTTTTTGAAAAAACAACTGAAAACTGACAGATAACACGCAAAGCTACGAAAACGAGGCAATGTTTACATATTCACAACTATGCTTGAATATCTGTCAGATTAATAAATAATGATTTATTTCCGAATATTTCATTAAAGCGTAAATATATACTATTAAATTACACGTTGCAGTCAGAATGAACAAACTATAATCATGAAATATAATCGGAAGGGGGCGGGCGAGACTGAAATTATCTAAGTTTTAATCCCGGTTAAGATTCAGATATTTTATTAGCCTGCATGAAACATTGTAAACAAATAACATTAATATATAATAGAGATAATATAATTAAATCGAAAATGTTTCGCAAGTGACGAGGTGTCGCGAAAGACTATTGTATTGAGTCATCGGCCTCAATAAATAACTTCCTCAAAAAGTACTAAAACGAGACTAAAAATTACAGAAAAAAAGAATATCACATGATAATGTAAATCATGGAAATTATTAAGAAACAGTAATACATGTTGCAAAAAGATTAAGAAGAGCTTTAGACTAATTATAATTTTCGCAGTCTAGGTATACTTTATGTTTGACAGAAGTCAATCCATTTTCGAGAATAAGGCAATTTATACAAGTGAATAAAACAAAAATATATCACATTTCTGAAGTTATATAATATATCTAGCTAGAGCAGCGGTTCCCAAACTATGGGTCGCGACCCACTGGTGAGTCGCAAAAGGAATCTTAGGGGGTCGTGAAAAGATGTAGAAAGCTTTGGATAATTATACTGGTTATTAGGATCGGTAGCGACTGGAATACGTAAATCTTCAAAATAACAAAAAAAAATTAAATTTAATTTAAATTCTAATCTGTAAAAGTTTCCTTTTGCGATCTT